TCGGAGGAGGATCAAATTTCTTTCTACGGCTCGAAGACGCGAACGTTGCCTCGGGTAATTTCTATGGCGAAGGCAAGGAAGATTATAAGACGAGAGGATTGTCAAGGATATTTGGTGAGCATTATTGATGAAAATTCGAGAGCACAGACACCTCATGATGTTCCAATTGTTCGGGAGTTTGTGGATGTATTCCCGGACCAACTACCAGGAAGACCACCCAACAGGCAAGTGGAGTTCACAATCGATATTGTTCCTGGAGCAGCGCCTGTGTCGAAGGCACCATATCGGATGGCACAAAAGAATTGCAAGAGTTAAAAACTCAAATTCAAGAGTTGTTGAAACTTGGTTTCATTAGACCAAGTGTTTCGCCTTGGGGAGCACCTGTATTGTTTGTCAAGAAGAAGGATGGTTCCATGAGAATATGTATCGATTATCGGGATTTAAACTGGTTAACGATAAAGAATAAATATCCGCTCCCAAGGATAGATGATTTGTTTGATCAGTTGAGAGGAGCTTGCGTATTTTCAAAGATAGATTTACGCTCAGGCTATCATCAACTAAAGATTAAGGAATCTGACATAGCTAAAACTGCGTTTCGGACAAGATACGGTCACTACAAGTTTGTAGTGATGCCGTTTGGGGTAAGTAATGCACCAGCGGTATTCATGGATTTGATGAACCGTGTTTTCCACAAGTATTTAGATCAATTTGTCATTGTTTTCATTGATGATATTTTGGTCTATTCTAAGAGTCAAGAAGAGCATGAGCAACATCTAAGGGTTGTTCTCAGTACCCTTAGAAAGGAGAAGTTGTATGCCAAATTCTCTAAGTGTGAGTTTTGGTTGAAGAAAGTGGCATTCTTAGGCCATATTATCACTGAGAAAGGTGTAGAGGTGGATCCAGCAAAGATTGCTGCAATTCAGAATTGGTCAGTACCGAAGAATCCATCAGAAGTTCGAAGTTTTCTCGGATTAGCAGGTTATTATCGTAGATTTATCGAAGGGTTTTCAAAGATTGCTCTCCCTTTGACAAATTTAACGAGAAAATCTGTGAAGTTAGAGTGGTCCGATCGTTGTGAGAAGAGTTTTCAAGAGCTTAAGAAGAAGCTTACATCAACTCCAGTGCTGATTATCCCTGATCCTACTAGAAGTTTCACTATTTATAGTGATGCTTCGAAAAGGGGTCTTGGATGTGTACTCATGCAAGATGGTCAAGTTGTTGCATATGCGTCGCGACAATTAAAACCGCATGAGCAGAATTATCCAACTCATGATTTAGAGTTGGCAGCAGTAGTGCACGCACTTAAGATTTGGAGGCATTATCTCTATGGTGGCCAGTGTGAAATATTCACTGATCACAAGAGTTTGCAGGATATATTCACTCAGAAGGAGCTCAATATGCGCCAAAGGAGATGGTTGGAGCTTGTGAAGGATTATGATTGCACTATCCAATATCATCCGGGAAAGGCGAATGTGGTAGCAGATGCTTTAAGTCGTAAAGTGAAGGGTGGATTGGCATGTTGTATCACTCAGCAGAATCAACTTATTAAAGAGTTTGCTCGGATGCAGATTGAAGTTGTCAGGACACTTCCTAAAGAGGTTACTGGAAGGGTTAACTCAATGAGAGTTCAGCCCATGCTAAGAGAAAGAATTCGGAAGGAGCAATCTTTCGATCAATTTATTCGGGAAATGGAAGAAAAAGTTCAAGATGGAGGAGTAGAAGGTTTTTATCAAGGTTCAGATGGAGCATTGGAGTTCAGAGGAAGGATTGTTGTGCCAAAGGTCGAGGCTTTACGAAAGGAAATCTTGTCAGAAGCACATAGTGCACCATATTTAGCTCACCCTGGAAGCACCAAAATGTATCATGACTTGAAAAAGTCGTTTTGGTGGAAAGGGATGAAGAGAGATGCAGCAGATTTTGTGAAGAAGTGTTTGGTCTGTCAGCAAGTTAAGGCAGAGCACCAGAGTCCATTAGGCCTGTTGCAACCAATAGAGATTCCTAAATGGAAGTGGGAAGAAGTTACCATGGATTTTGTTACAGGGCTACCTAAGTCATCGAAACAACATGACGCTATTTGGGTAGTAGTAGACATGTTGACGAAAGTCGCTCGTTTTATGCCTGTATCAATGACCATGTCGATGGACAAGCTAGCAGAAATTTATACTCGTGGAATTATTCGACTACATGGAGTGCCTGTTACAATAATATCTGATCGAGATCCCAGATTAACTAGTAAATTTTGGGAAAGTTTGCATAAGGCAATGGGCACGCAGTTAAGTTTCAGTTCGGCTTATCATCCAGAGACAGATGGCCAGTCAGAAAGGACGATCCAGACGCTTGAAGATATGCTCAAAGCTTATATTCTGGATAGAGGTTCCAAATGGGAGAAGTGGTTGCCGTTAGTGGAATTTGCTTACAACAACAGCTATCATTCATCAATTCAAATGGCTCCCTATGAAGCACTTTATGGCCGCAAGTGTCGTCCACCTCTTTATTGGGACGATGTTGGAGAGAAGCAAGTACTTGGCCCGAAGATGATTGAAGAAACTGTTGAACAAGTAGCCTGGATTCGAGAAAGGCTTAAGACTGCTCAAA